GAAATTGATGTATGTTGGTGATTCACCAAATTATCGGCATTGATATTATTGGTAATCACCGAGCACTAGTCAACAATTACCAATGCAGGGTCTCTAGAATTCATTGTGCTTTAGACACGATTAACAATTGTCGATGTCACTCACAAAATGTTATTTTTCTATATTTTTCATAAAATACTAATTTTTTTTTCTATTCTTCCCTTCAAAAATGTTTTCTACTCATTTTAAATTTTAACCTAGTTTGATTCCTCTTTTTTCAAAATACATTTTTTTTCTCTTTTCTTTTCAACCACATATTTTTCAATAAAATAATATTATATGCAAATCAAAAACTTTTCTTTCATTTTTAACCACACATTTTTCATCAATTTATTATTCTGAAATGCATTCTACCTAAAAAAAATGGACATCAAACAGGTCCTTTATTTTGTCCCCAACCAGAAAAAAAAAATTTTAGTATTTGATTACTAACTAAAAACCGTTCATAATCTTTTTATATTTGGAAAAAAAAAGGCAAAATATGTAAATTTTAAAAATTGGAGCCCTTCTATAAATCGAGCGGCATGACTACCTAACTTGCTTAATGATTGAGAGCCTACTTTATATTAGAGGTGTCAATCCGGATGGTCCAGGTCGGGTCGGCCCGCCAACATATGAGCCCGGTAACGGTCCACATGAAAAAATGCCCACCCACTACGGGTTCTGGGTCGGCCCACAAATTTTGCAATACAACCCAAATCCACCCGCTGACCCATCCGGGTCGAGCCCATGCGGGTCACGGGTAGCGATTTGTTTCGATTTGCCTCGTATTATTGTATAAATAAAATTATAAAAATATTGATTTTTCATATTTATATCAAAAAAATATTTTTTTTGTTAAATGTAATCTAAGAATTGAACAAAATGTTAAATTCATATTTATACCAAGAAATGTTTACATAGAATTCAAATTTAATATTGTATGAATTATCTATAACTGTGCAAAGTTAAATTTAATTTAAACAAATAACAATTAAATGCATTTCTAATTACTATTATCAAATATTTATATTATAAGTACATCCCAATTAAGTTGGCACCTCCTCCCCCCTCCTCCTCTCTCTTTTTCAAATTTTTTAATTTTTTTTCATGGGCCAACAGGTTAACCGCGGCCCGTGAAGGTGCAACCCGCGAAATCCGCGGATCACTCCTCCTCGACTCGTGAACTGCCAGCTCGGATCACGGGTTGGCCCTTGGCCCTGGGTCGATCCGGGCAGATTTTTACGGATCTGACCGACCCGTCTATCTTGACACTTTTCCTTAATATAAAAAATAATTATGTATATTGTAAAAATAAAAATATGCAAAAGTAGAAAGTTATCAGCAAAAATTGACGAAACATGAAATTTTTTGGTGTTTGCCTTTCTTCCTTTTTTTTCATTCTTTTCTTCTCTCTTCGTTTTCTCTTCTCTTTCTTCATTTTTTCTCCTTCGATTTTTCCCCTTTTTTCTCCTCTCTCCCCTTTTTCTTTTTCTTTCTCTTTCTTTTTTCTTATCTTTTCTTTCTTGCGGCAGTTTTTCCTCTTCTTTGTTTCCACGTTTTTCTTTTTTTTCTTTTGTGCCTCCTCCTCCTCCATATGTGTGTGTTTGTGCGTGTGTGTGTATATATATATAATTTGGACCTGGAATTAAAATTTTCAATACAAATTTATTGAAGCCAATTTAACCCGAATTCATTTAGCTTGTGTTTGACACCCATTTTGGGGAAAGAATAGATTTTGGAATAGTGATTGATGGAAGAATATGTGATTAAAAAGTAAGGAGAATTTTTTGATTTATGTTAATATTATTTTATTGATAAAATGCTTAGTTGAAATGAAGAAAGAGAAAAAAACGAGAAATATAATGGATGTCAAATATGGGCTTAATGTAATATTTCTCTCCAAAGTTTTATAGTTGAATTTTGCCATTTTTCGTCACTTTTACATTACTTTCTTCCAATTATTCATTAAATATAAAGTTTTACCTAAAAAATACAATATAA